CGAAAGGTCAACCACGTGGAGAGATCGACCACGTGGTAACGAAGACCTAAGTTTCTGTGTTTGTACCGAAAAGCAAGAACGCTTATATTATTCAAACGGAAAGAAATAGAATAATGAGATTTACATTGTAGAAAGTTTATAAAAGGATAAAAGCGTCTGTGAAAGCACAACCATGAAAGAAACGCGACAGGCCCGCAATTTGGCCCCAACCAGATACAGGAAACTCGTACAAACTCAAACACAAAGAAAATCCGAAAGCAGGGTTAGAAAGAACTTTAAAAACTAAATCGAGTGATATATAACAATCCCACTTACCAATAAAAATTGCCCGAAAGCGGAGGTTAAAAACCCTAAGTTTCGGAAACCCGTAGTTTGAGAACAATTAATCCGATCTGGGAAAATTTAATATCAGACGGTAGCTGAGGCTTAGATAACTCCAACAAAGTAAATATATCCAAATTATGAATTAATATTCTGCTGATGTACCGATCGAAACACGGAGCATATATACACACGTCCGAACACATTCGCGACTAGCGCCGCAGAGCCAATGCCAATGGCTGTCCGTGATCGGTGTGTAAATAATCGAATCATTAATTCGTTTCAAGCGCATTACTGTGTTTTTATCGGGAGCGGTCACGCCGCTCGCACGACAGAGGCACATTACTGACACATGCATTGCAATGCAAGTGTCAGTTGGCGGGCGTCGCGATTTACACGACGAAAGACAGCGTGAGATCGAAAATACTTAACGAATTTCAGCCGAATCGTTAAAAGACGCCCATCAAATTAGTTAACGCGAAGGAAGGCGAGGATGTTCCGCCCTTCGCGATAACTCTTTTCCGACACTCAAATTTCCGTTGTATGTGACGAACGAACTAAGTAATGTTCGTTGGCACGCTGATTGGCTTATAAATGGACTTTCGAGAAGCTGCTCATGCGGAGTTCTCATGGTGTAAAGGTAAGCACTCTCCAGTGATTCGAGTTCGAATCACTGGAGAGTTATTCGAACTCGACTTTAAATCCAGTGATTCGAGTTCGAATCTCGGTTAGATCTTTTGTTTTTTTNCTGGCCAATGAAAAGTAGATTTGTCTCACTAATGATGATTTGTGATCGCTGGAAGTGCTACTGCGTCGTAAAGTGTTTTCCTGAACGATCTGATACGGGATACATTCATTGGCACTATTGATTCAGACACCATTTGTTGGACTATTAAGTTTAATAACTTGACTCGTGGGTACCTAAATGTTTAGTATTTTAATATTAATTTAATGCAAATGTATGCATACCCAATAATATTAAACAGAAAATCTTTTGTAACTAATATACAATGTTGCGGCTCGGTAAATACGTCGACACTGAAATGAAAATCAGTCTAGCATAGGGAAAATTGGGGAATTACACCGCGAAATGGTGAATTGCGCAGCGGAGTTATTGTGAATCGGCATAAATTGAGCCAGCATAAACCGAGGGCTACTTGTATTGCACTCACTTTTTACTCACTTATTTTGTATTTCAACTCACTTTTTCAAAGGGGAAATGGCACTCCCAGGCCTGCAAAGTCTACAACTAGATAAACATAATGAATAATAACATGGAATATATTACAACAAACTGTTCTTATAGTAAATATAATATAGGCATTAGTTTGAATACTTTATTACTTACTTGTGCTGAGAACAACTGCAATTTAGTTCTTAAAAATATTTTATTAAGGATTCAAAACCTAAAAATTTTTTAAAACTGCATTTAAAATGCATATGAATTTAAATGTAGTGCCTAAATGGTTAACATTCTTTAGTTTTTATTTTTTAATTTGTTTAAATTTTTAATGTGCTTTTTTGAATATTTAAAACATCATGAATTTCTTCAACTTCAGAGCGAGTTCATATTCATGCATCTAATTCACTTCCTTCTTATTTGTTATTTATGTTGTTTTACTTTGTGCTTCGACTATTTAAAATAAATAAATAGTAGTAACAATATCTAATTATAGTTTCTCATAATTATAGCAAAAATATATTTATTAGCAAAACTATGTAAGAATAAATATTATTGATTTGTAACAAATAAATTAATAAATGTTGCATTGNTTTCTATATACTTATCGGGCTTTGCGTTGTTGATTATACTTTATATATATTATATATTCCGTGTATATCATGGCGAATTTTAAAGCGAATTATTTAATATAAAAAGTTAATCTATAATCAAACAACTAGCAAAGAAAATTTTAAGGAATGTTAAATATAAAATTCATAAATTTAAAATTTTGATTCATGTAGAATAGTACTCATAAAACTTGTGCTTTCATGAATAGAATTTAAAAAAATAAGCTGTTACTTTTTACGTTTATGTATCACGAAAGTATTAATAACCTTGCCATTCTAGTAGACAACTCGACCACTAAAAACTCTTGATAGTTCAACATTCATAATTTTTAAAATCTTACCGTTCCTGTAATAGGAACATTATTAATACACTACTTAAAATCTTTATGTATTGCTATTTGTTACAGAACTTTCGTTTATTTTTAAATAATTTTTCGAATATAATTTGTAATTCTAATTAATTTTTTTTTAATTCTAAATTTATTTACAAGGATAAAGCAAAAAGATAATTTATATTATTTAAAATTTGCAATTAAATGATATAAATAAGTTCATTAAGATAAAATTTTTTAAATTCTTTTCATGTAAATTGTTATGAAGGTTAAAGTAATGTTAAAGAATAAATTATTTTTCTGTATTGTCTCAATCTTTCATGTGCTTCCTGGTCATCTTTCTTTCCTTTTCATTTATTTAAGAAATAATTATTTTTTAAGCAAATGAAAAGTTGATATTAAAATTTTTGGATTATTTGTTTAAATAAAAAGTTTATTCCTGTACAAATGAATGTGATATAACAGAATGATTATATTTTACCAAAAATAATTACTTTATCATCTTAAATTTATTATACAGACTTTCAAGCTCTGGTATTCAGGCTTCAATTGATTACAATTATCCTTTGTAATGCTACTCTCACTTTGCATTTTTCACTATAGTGTAATTTAAAAAAAATTAGAGAGATAATGAATTGAATCACCATAAACTTGCATAAATAAATTGCAATACTGTGCATGTGTATTGCAATTCAATTACTGTGTGCAGCTAGTGTTGCAAGCATTTTGATTTTTAAATGTACAGAATTCAAAACATCATAAATAATAACAAAAAGGCAGATAATGTACCAAAACAAATGTAACTTTACATCAAGCACTGTGCATTTAAAATTTTATGAACAAAAAATAGCATAAATGCAATTATTGTATTTAAAGGAAAATTAATTTATTCAAAATTTGTTTTATAATGAAAAAGTCAGTTCTATAGACTAAATGTGGTTAGTACAGAAAGTTTCTCTTAAAATATTAACCTTTTTTGGTTTATAATGATTATATTGGTGTAAAACAGAACATTTTTTTTACAGTAGAGCCTCGATTATCCGACCCCCGATTAACCGACACCTCAGTTAACCGACCGTCCTAGTCGGCAAATTTCAAATGTCCGCTAGTGATGTGGCACTACAATATTTGGCTATGTCTTGGCAACTTTAATATTATTTTTACGTGTTTTAGCTGGCAACACTCATTCGACCATGAAAGGGAACCAGTATTTAAACGAGGCTTAATTTTCTAATTTTTAACGATACAATAGAGACGATTATTATTTAAAAAATTTTTGTTAGGCTTAACATCGATGAAAATTCAACGCGAAGTAGGTTAACAGCGATATACTAATTACATGGGATATAATAATATACTACACTAATAATGGATTTTTTCATACTTTTCGGTTATCTGACTTTTCAATTATCTGACCAACCCCAGCCCAATTGAGTCGGATAATCGAGGCTCTACTGTAATAGAAAATTATTGAAGAATGACGACATGTTTTATTCTATTGAGTTTATATAAAATTACTTCTTTACATTAAACTCTTAAAAATATATGGTAAAATGTCAGATATATTAAGATTTCACTAATTGATTTTATATTTTTATCTAAAATATTGTATGATTTATATTGTTAATAAAGCAACTTAATGTATTTTTTGTGAATGATTTAATTATTAATATAAACTAAATATTATAATGTAAATTATAATATTTGAAGATAAAATTAAAATCTTAATCTTATACAGTGGGTGATCGGTTAACGAACATAATCCGTTCCCAGGCTTTGTTCGCTATCCGAATTGTTCATTAACCGATTATCGATTTACCATAGGTTTTAATGGAGATTTAATTAATTCGTTCTGGAGACTCCCCAAAATAAAACATATATACTTTCTTACTACGTTTATTTATATATAATAATAAAAATACATATGTACACAGTCTTGCGTTTTTATTAGTCATGTNAAAAAAAACAGACGCAAAACTTAACGAGTGCCTACCCGACAGTCTCACGAATACATAAAAGAATTATTTTCTCATAAAAATAAAATGCTGGAATTATAAGGGAGAGTTTTAAAGTTCAGAGGAATACTATCCGATCGGTATATACCGGCTTGAGCGTAGATTTCGAAGTCTCCAACACTCCGAAAAGTTTCGAATTGTTGCCCAAAGACAAGGAAAGTCCAATCGGTATTTGTTATTTTACGTTGCTTCTTCTTGTGTTTGTTCTGTGGGATGTTCGTTATCTGATCATGTGTTCGTTGTCCGAACATAAAAATCTTTCGCAAAAGTGTTCGTTATCCGATTTGTTCGTTGTCCGATCTGTTCGTTAACCGATCACCCACTGTATTCAAATATCTTTTTTATATAATAATATAATGAAATATCTATATTTTATCATATTAGTTTTTCTGCCACAATAGTGATTTTAAAAAATTACTTTTTATTGCTGTAATAACGGTATTTTAAAATAATTTCAGATTTTATAATTTTAATTGTCCTTATGAATAAGAAAATGTTTTAATTCTTTTTAGTTATTATTTTGTTTTGTTTTCAGTATGTCAATAATTTTGCAAATGACTGTCAAAAGATATTTTTAATGGTATATAATTTGCCATTATTAATTGGAGGACCATTTATTATTATTGGATCAGTCATTTATTTGTGGTGGTTAATAGGACCTTATTGCCTTCTGTCATTTGGAGTATTTTTATGTTCTTATTTTCTTCAGGTATGTAATAACATGTCATAATAATATATTTAAATTAAGTTTTAAAATTAAATTATTTTCATTTTACTACACAGTCAACCCTGTTTATATGTTTTTCATTTATACAATTTTGAATTTATATGACATTTTTTGATACCTATAACATATTTTTTCTCATGTATTATTCACTTTGAAATGGAAAAATTTTAAGGAAAAATTTAAATTCAGCTTAGTACACTGACAAAGCAAAATGCAAAAAGCAAAGTGAATATGTAACATGTGATACTGTTCTGGCAAATTTCAAATTTTTCTTTTTAGCAAATCACTATGCCAGTCTAACATGTTTAAAATTTTCAGTTTTTACATTTTTTATAGTGTGAACCAATTTTGCTATGTGAATAAAAATTGCTTTCTGGTTTCATTCATTTTAACTATTTGCTGTTAGTGTGAACTAATTTTAGAATAATTCTTCATTCTTTTGTGAGTAGAGTTTTGCCAGAAGGAAACAATATAGGAGGAGACTATTGAAAAACAAGAAACAAACTAAACTTTCTCAGTTTTTTAAAATTATATGACTTAATTTCATGCTGTTTTACATTTTCTTTTATTTGTTGTTCAACTGTATTATACAGTATATAACTTATAGTAAATTGAAACTTGTTTGTTAAGAATTACACTTAAAATTTCAGTTGTACAGTGTTAATTTGAACCATGCCATACTTTTGCATGACTATATTTGCTCTGAAAACAATTCAAATATTCACTTGTACATTTCTCTCACTTATACAATATTTTTTCAGTTTCTTGAAAAATGTATAAATGGGGTTCAACTGTATGTATGTATATATATAGTAAAAATCTGAATATGAGGTTATAAGTTATTATGGAAAATAAATAACTATATATATATATCTAATATCAAATGATATGAAGGTCACTAAGAAAGTTTTGAGATGCACTTGTGCACTTGTATAAAAATTTGTAGATTAAAGTTAGTGACAGTATTCAGCAATGCCTTCATCCATTGTTTGAAGGAGAGTCCTTATGGGCAGCCCTATAGCTAGCCTTTTTGAGAGTTTATTCTCAGGATATTAGAACAATCTTACTCCCAAGATCAAAGATAACATTTTACTCTATAAAAAATATATAGATGATATGATTATCATTTAGAGCATCAAATCCAAAATTAACAAGTTCATTTGCATGGTCAACAAAAACCATTATGACCTATAATAATAGACAAGATCAATGCACACTTTATTGATCTAGACTTAATGCGTAAAAGAAGTGAAATATACATAGGAGTCTAAGCGAAACCAGCATTTCACTCTATATACCTAAGTACCCAAACAATCCTTTCCAGTACAAAATGGCAGTCTTTATTTAGGAAGTACAAAACTCGGCTACTGGTTTAATGATATAATATATAATACACTAAATCTACTTATATGTTAGTTTCTGACCACTCTCTGCACCACACCCAAACTTTATGCTCTGAATTTCAAAAGATAATATAGTTATCTTGGGTTCAGGAGAATTGTCCTCAATGCTTACCTGTCTGGTGATGAAAGCAGCTTCTCATGAAACTTGATATCTCAGGAGATGAGTCCTGAGTCTAGAGAGAGAGTGAAGAGTTAAGGAGACAGAATGGCTTGAGACAACTGTGAGGTCTTCCTGTTTTGGCCTTAAGAGAGCCAATACAGGAAGGACCCCTTAAGCTCAATTTTTGGCTACTTCCATTAATCATTCACTTTCCAATCAGAATGTTTCCTCATATCTGACATCAGAAGTGAGAGGCCACTTCAGACTGAAGATGGCTCACCCTTTTCTAAGAGTTCGTTTCTGTTCTTCCTTCACTTACCAGATTACTTTTTATCTTTCAGATAGTATATTGTCTTACTTTGAAATTCCTCTGGATGCAGAAATGCAGCATTACTCCACTAAGGTGATGAGTCAGTTGATTCTGCCTATTATGTTTCGGATATTAGAGTGCATGACTCACTCCCATCTTTACATTTCTTAAAATATGTTGAAATTTGTTATAAAATTATATAGTTTGAGTTATATTAATATGAACAATATAATTTTATTAGTGGAAATATATGAAATTTCAAAAATATTTAATAAAAAATAAAATTGATAATATGACAAAAGAAGACATTTTATTTTTAAATAGTGTAAACAAATAACAAATGAATAGTTATAAAGTTAAAAACTAAACAAATGGCACTTAAAGTGTTTATTCACATGCCATTTTATTTTACACGCATTCAGTTCAGTGTTAAAATTTATCTTATAGAAAATATATATACATATACAGTAATACCCCGAACTTACGCGATAGGTGGGACCGGGCGATAACTGCGTAAGTCGTAAGTTGGGGTATAATTTTGCGGTTTGTGTAAAATCCAAGTCGGATGTATGTAAGCTAATAAATGTTCTCATTAATCGTATCTCGTCTTTTGATTCGTTCACGGTTACAAGAAATCACTACATAGAGTCTCTCAAGTTTCCGTAGATATAACAAACACAGAAATAAATAACACAAAATAAATTGTAGCTATGTGTCAATTCGGTGCGACACATTCGAACATGTAAGCTGAACAATAGTGGGGGGGGGAGTGAGTAATCGAGAGTTGTGTGGTGCTCAAACAAAAGATGAATCGATGAGATTTGAAAATCGCGTAACTCCGGGTTCACGTAAGTTGAGGTATTACTGTACAGTAAAGCATCGATTATCCAAAATGTCTGTTAACCAAAAGCGTTTCGGTTAGACTGTGTCGTGCTGAATTGAACGTTTTTGATACTAGATTAACTTCTAAAGTGTAATTTTTTTTGTTTTTATATTTTTCAATGTATTTATTTTGCTTGTACAAAATATAGAAATAATTTTTAACAATACAATAGCCACAATTATTATTATAAAAATTTTCATTAGGCTTAACATTGACGAAAATTCAACACGAAGCGACATGCAACAGAGAAAAATTTAAACATGAGATATATTAATATATTATTATTGGGATATACTAATATGCTATATTAATAATGTATTTTTTCGTACATAATTGGTTATCCGAAAAATTTATTTTCCAAACAACCCAGTCCCCAATTGATTCAGATAATTGACGCTCTACTGTATCTGATATTTTGAGATTTTTATTTTTTTGGTAATGTAATCTCATTCCACTGGACTATTTACTCTTTTGGTAAGAAATCTGCTTTCATTCAAACATTTCATGTCAGTGAGGACAACTTATTTTTATATATATATTTGAAAAGTTTTATTGCTATGAATTTTTATTGTACATTTGATTTTAATATTAAATGATTTATTAGGTTAAGAAAAATTGGAACATCAATTTTACTTATTGACTAATGTTATCAATTTAATTTTCAGTATGGTATTGCAAGGTTAAGTGGTCGTTACCGTAAAAAAGTTATAGAAATAACAGATCAAAGAGTGAGTTAATTTTGTTAATATTCTGAGAGATTGATTTTTCAAAGACTGAATTATATTTAAATTAAATTTATCATAATAAATATAATTGTTACTTTCGTGCTTTAGAATTAATAGAAATATCAAAAAACCTTAAATAGTTAAATTCAGACAACACAAAATGCTGCTAAATATTGCAGGTTACTGCTCTATTTTATTGCAGTAAAATATTCTTTAAGGTAATATGCATTTGATCATCAGATCAACAAAAATGTTTGAAGAACAAGATTTCATCAATTGGTTTAAATTCAAAACCTTAAACATTCTAATCACAAGCTGAATTTAAAGAGTTAGCTAATAAATTTTAAAATATGGTAAAACCTCACTAATTCAGAATTCATAGTAATTCAGACTACTATTTTGCATTGTGTATTTTTTAAAATAATAAATTTGTTGATTCTAATCTCAACTTTAACAATAATTACCTTACTCCTAGACAAATGTGTCAGTATATGATTGAGGAACAGTTAGAAAAGGAATTTCAAATGATAATGAGCTTTAATTTATCACACTACAGCTTTTTTTGCTGAGATAGTTTTATTGAAAAACTAATATTTTCGGCCTACTCTATAGGCCATCCTGAAAATGAACTTTTTATTTTCAAGCTAAAATTAGTAGATGCTGGCAATGACAAGAATAATGCTACTACTACTATTGCATATGAAAAATTTATCATATCATTGTATTTGTTAAAGTTCACAGTAAAATTTGACTTTAGATAAAGTGTACTTTTCAGACCCATATAATATGCATTTGAGTAATAACCTTGCTAATTCAGACTTTCACTAATTTAAACTAGGTTTTCCCCTAATTAGTCTGAATTAGTAAGGTTCTACTGTATTTGTTACTTTACACTCAACTGAAAGCTACTTGTGTAGCAGAAATGTAAAGTAAATAATTTACAAATGCTTTTTTTTTTATTACAGTTTGGCTAATTTAGTATGCTACTTTTTAAACTTTATACAAAATGTATATAGTGAATAAATTTTAATTTTTATTAATGTAATAATGTAATAAGACTTATTTTTATTATTTTGCATTTAAGAGGCATATTATTTTAAAATCACTCTAAATTTAATTGGATAAATTATCATAAGTATTTTGTTTTTTTACTTTAATGTTCGGACAATTAATGCAGACACTTATTGATAGTTGCAGGTAACCTTTTAAATTACTTGCTAATCTTTACATTTTTCTATAAAAATATTTTAAGTAAAATTTTTAAACTATGTTAATTGTTTGTTAATAATTACTGTAAAGTGAAACGTAGAGGACAATCATGAAATGTTCTTAAAGGAACTGGTTTTAACTCTAGTGTAATAAAATGCTTATTAAATGCAATAATGTCATAACTCAAAAATGGTGATTTTTTTCAGATGAAGCATTTGAAGTTTTGATTCTTCCATATCAAAAAAAATTTTGAAATATTGCTATCTAATGGCATTTTATTCAATCTCTTAATTAATATGATATTCTTGCAGTTATAAGTACATGCAAAGTCCATTCTACCAGTATGAATAACTCAAAAATGATGATTTTTGAGTTGTTATTGCAATTAATAAGCAGTAATATCAACCAACATATTTAAATTTTAAAACATTTTGTTATTTTAAAAATGATGTATTAGGTAAAATTTATAATTTTATGTGTCAAGTAACACGTTGTTTTTTAAAATCACCTACTCATAATTTAATATTAATACAATTTTTAAAAATACTGTATTTACTCATGTATAAGATGATCTCGCATATAGGATGAGGTGTGACTTTAAAGATCAAAATAAAGAAAATTAGATTTATTAATACAATTCTAATTTTATTTCATTTAATCACAAATAAAATATTAAATGCACACATTGTCCTGCAAAAATTACTGGCATTTTAAACTTTAAGAAAAAAAATCTTGTAAAATTGACAACATAGTTTGTTCACGTAAAATTGGAAACTTTTTTTGCCAATTCTTAAAGTCAAATCCACTCTTCGTTGATTACACCTATGAATTTCTTCAAATTCTCATTTCCGAATAATCATCTGTTTTCACATAGGAATGGATTAAAACTTATATTGGGCTTCTGTGTGATTTTGGAATTCAACTTAAAGCTTTGCTTTTCCTATTACTATTTATCTGCTCCTGATGATACACAAGAACGATTCAAATGAACCAGATAAAATACTTGTGTTTTTAAACACCAGGGGGTGAGCATCCATTAAAAAATGCAAATACACGGTTCACAAAAATTATTGCTAAAAAGGCCAAGAATCCTTTGCTCGCATGTATAGGATGACCTGGGATTTTGGAGCAATGAAAAATGTATAGAAACCTCCTCTTATATGCGAGTAAATACAGTATTTTAACTCCTTTTCTTTTCCTCACAACTACATTTTACATCTCAATTTGAGGACAAATGTTAATAAGTTAGTCTATGGTTAAGTGCTGACAAGCAATTTTTAGCCAACCAACTGATTGATCAGCCAATCAACATTACTATACACTCACTACTGCAACTGTGAGATCCAGGAGACATTTCTCTTTCCTATGGGAAAGCTTATTTGATAAACCATAACAACTAACTGTTGATGTGTGTGAACATCATCACCTAAACAATTACCTGGTAAGGAGAATTGAATAACAAAGGGGAAAATTAAACTTTGTTTCAAACTGTCAAATTCTCATGGCTCTAGTCAGCCCACCGATGACACATCTGATCAAATTCCCACACCAATGGGGATATAACAGGCTCTCACCCAAGGATCTGGGCGGACACACTTCAAAGAGCATGGACCAAAGCTCTTTTCTCACCAGCTCTTGTCTCCCCTTTCCTCTGAAACCAGTCTCCGGTAAAACTCCCAGATGATATGCTATCTGGACAAGATCCGAAGACATCAGATATTATCTCCCAGAGATATTATACTTAGAGCATTGTAAACTCTCTCTCGGGCAAATCAGAGATAAGTAAGTAGTATATAGTCGATATAGTTTAGTCCATAAACAGATTATCAGACGAAATGTTTATGCCTATCTGTAGACTTAGTGTAGATGTTATTATGTATTTATTGTTTCATTTAGCTTATTAAACTGTTATTTATAGTTAACTCGCCTATGTCTCGCCTTATTCGGAAATCAGACCCTCTTATCAACGAGTCCACTTCCCCTCTCCACTCAACACCTAGATAAAACCTTCCTATTCAACATTAGTTTACTATACTTGCAAACTAGGACATGTATTATAATTATCGTAACTGGTGTTGGGAATACTAGACAATCGTTGGGAATACTAGAGAATACTAAACTAAACCAAAGCCATCCAGTGACGCTGTGAGCGGACTTCACAGGTTTGATGCTAGAAAAATGGTGGGCTGAGCAACCATCGCTGGCTTCTCACATAGCCAAACAGACAGCTGACCACTTGTGCACATATATAACTGAACTATCACTTATTTTAACTTGGTTTCATCATGGATTTTGAAGAGGTGCTTATGTGCATGCTCTAGAGATTTGAAAAATAAAAATAAAACTAGGGAAAAAATGCTGGGTGCATCCACTTACTACTAAATGTTAGATGAAAGGGTAATTCTACAAACTGTGTCAAAAATTACAGTGTTGTCTCCACAAATTTGTTAGTAGAAATATACTGTATGAATTTCTAAACTATGACTTATTAATAAACACAGTGAAAAATATATTGAAGAATCCAAAAAGATTTTTATCTTCACAATTCATTATTTAAGTCACCATTGACAAATCAAAAAAACACAAATATTCAGAAATGACCTTTTATTTGAGGGTTATTTCTGTAAAAAAGTGTAAATTGGTTAAAAAAGTCTTCTGGCAATGATACCATAAATTAAATCATTACAAAACCTATCTTATAACATAATTTAATAAAAAATATATTGAATATTATAAATTTTGCTTCTTACCTCCTTGTGAAGACATCCCAACACACTACTATAGCAAATACTAAAACTTAACTGAGTGGTCTAACTGTTTAGTTGGAAGTGAGCATGACATACCTAAACACACAATTCACATTATAGTTGTGCAATCATTCAGTTTGAGCTACAATACAAACTAAATAATGAGCTGATTGAATTGTTGCATGTGAGCACAGCCCATAAAAATTTGTGGATATTGCTCATGCAACTAAATAGTCAATTAATTAAAAATTGCATGTCAGAAAATAGCCTAAAAATAAAAACAAAGTGTAAAATAATTATAAATAACTGTAATTTAAACAGTATCATTTATCATTTTTCAATTTTCATTTTAATAATTTTGATTGTGTAACAAAAAGTTAATTTTGAATTACATTTACGTTTAGTTTATAAATTATCATATTTTATGAATTTTATTATATTTAATGATAATTTTAGTTTTTAAAATAATTTACAGTTAATGTAAATGTTGCACTTAATAATTATATTAATTTTTGAAAATAAATTTAGGTTAGCCTGATGACAGAGTTTTTAAATTACATCAAGTTAATTAAACTTCATGCCTGGGAAAAACCAATGACAAAAAACGTAACTGGTAAGTAAAAAATTAAAAAGAAATATTTTAAATACACACATAATAATAAATAAATAAATATTATTATTATTATTGTTGTGTTTAGTGGGTTATACTCAGTTCACACCGGTGGCTGTGTACTATGCCGGACCAAAATAAAACTAAAATTAAATAAGTGTGTCAGTGTCTGTATTAAGGAATTTTCTAACAATATGGCATGTATTCAATATAGTGGCTTTCTGTAGTGTTATGTATGTATTTCTATTCAATAGTAATGTTCCCAGGCTTTTGTGTAGTGTGTGTGGTATCACACCTGTGCAGGAGAGAACAACAGGTACAATAAGCACCCTATCCATCCTCCACAGATGCCTTATTTCCTGGGCGACTTCTGTGTACTTGCTAATTTTTTCAGTGAATGTGTTTTGTACATTGTGAATGTTTGGAATGGCTATGTCTATAATGTATGTGATTTTATTGTGTTTGTCAATGAGTGTGATGTCTGATCTGTTGTGGTAAATTGTTTTATCTGTAATTATAGCTCTGTCATAGTACAGTTTGTGCATGCTATTTTTCAATACTGTCTGTGGAATGTATTTGTAGTATGACTCATGTATGTCTAATAATTTGTGTTTGTTTGCAAGCTCTTGGTGCTTGTAATATATAAATGTATTATATTTGCTACTTGATTATGTCTGTGTAAATAATCTGTCTGCGCCAGGAACTTGCACCCAGATGTAATGTGTTGTATAGTTTCTGGCATGATGTGACATTTTCTGCATGTGTCATTTATGAGTGTTGTATCTTTGAGTATGTGTTTTCTGTAGTTTTTAGTATTTATGACCGGATTCTGTGTGGCAATCATGAATCCTTCCATCTCCCCAAAGAGGCATCCCCAATCTAACCAGCTGTTTGATGCAGTTTTGTCAACAAAATCCTGGACCAGATCATAAGGATGCCTGCCATGGAGTGCCTTTCGAGCCCACGATTGCTCAATGGTGTCTATGCTTTTTATGTGTTGTGTCATGTCTGTATGATGGTGAGTGTAAGTTTAATGTTGTGTTATTTGAGTCTGCTAAAGTTACTGCTTTATGTAACTGTGATGTTTCTCGTTTCTTGTAGAGAAACTCTTGCAGTGACTGTGTTTGTTGTGAAGGTTAACTACGTCAATCAGGCCACGTCCGCCATCTTTACGTGGAAGAGTTAATCTTTCTATGGTGGATTTAGGGTGATGTTGTTTATGCTTAGTAAGCGTTGTTCTTGTTTTCCTTTGGAGTTGCTCAAGATCTGTGTGAGTCCAATGTTGTTTATGCTTAGTAAGTGTTCTTGTTTTCATTTGGAGTTGCTCAAGATCTGTGTGAGTCCAATGTATAACTCCAAAAGAGTATGTGAGTACAGGGACGACATATGTGTTTATTGCTTTAACTGTGTGTTTTGCATTTAACTGTGTTCTAAGTATAGCGTTTAACCTACTTTGGTATTCTTTAATTAATCGTTGCTTTATTTGTGTATGTTCTGTTAGTTTGGCCTGTTGGAATCCTAAGTACTTGTAGAACTCGCCCTCTTCCATGGATTCAATAACGTCTCCATTTCCAAGTGCAAAATCTTCTTTCTTCAGGATTCCTTTTTCTATGTGAAGTTTTTTGCATTTGTCTAGGCCAAACTCCATTTGTATGTCCTTAGTGTATGAATGTGTGATTTGTAGGAGTTGATGAAGTTGTTTTTGTGTGGATGCATAAAGTTTTATGTCGTCCATGTACATGAGATGTGAGAGTGTAAACTGTGTTGTTTTTTCATGTCTGATATTGTAGCCATATTGCGTGTTGTTTAACATGTTGGATAATGGATTCAGGGCTAGGCAGAACCAGAGAGGACTCAAGGAATCTCCTTGAAAAATTCCTCGCCTAATGAATATTTCGTTTGTTTGTATGGAAGTGTTACTAACCCTGAGATGTAGTGTTGTTCTCCAGTGCTGCATAGTGTTTTCGAAGAATGCAATGAGTGATGGATGTATTTTGTACATGTGTAGAATATGTAGCAGCCAACTGTGTGGAACACTGTCGAATGCTTTTCTGTAGTCTATATATGCCATGTGTATGTTTCTGTGTTGTTTGTGTGCTTGCCGTAGAATGACTGAATCTATGAGTAACTGTTCTTTGCATCCCCTGTGATTTCTACGGCAACCTTTTTGTTGTTCTGTAAGAATGTCGTGTTCTTCAACATGTTTGTATATTTTGTTTGTGATACAGGATGTCAATAATTTGTAGAGTGTTGGAAGACATGTAATTGGTCTGTATTGTGTGGGGTCTGTGGTTTTGTTGTTTTTAGGTTTCATGTAGGTAATGCCCCGAGTAAGAAATTTTGGCATGTCTTGTGGATTGATGATGATGTGTGTTAGATGTTTAGCTAGTTCCTGGTGCAGTGATGTAAACTTTTTGTACCAGAAATTGTGAATGTTGTCTACACCAGGTGTCTTCCAGTTGTGTGTTCTGTTAACAGCGTAGCGAATGTCGTGTATGTTTATTTCAGCACAGGGCATAGTTGGTATGTTATGCAAGTTTCTGTTCTCCTCCTTGATCCAGCCTGCATCAGCATTGTGTGTAACAGCATTGGACCAAAGAGAAGACCAATAAGTTGTGAGTTCTTCTTCTGTTGGTGTGCCACTGTGCTGTGTATCAGTGTTTGTTTTGGTACTGATTTGTCTGTAGAAAAGTTTTTCATTGTTTGTGAATAATTTATTTTGTTGTTTTCGTAGTGTACATGTTTTGTATCGTTTGAGTCTACGTGCTTTGGCTGCGAGTTTTTGTTTTAGTGTATCGATGTATTCTGTAATGTGTGTGTTGTGATGTTCATGTTTTGTGTGTGTTTTGATTTTCTTGAAAATGTTTTTGAGTTGTTTCTTTAATTTGGGTGTTATGTTGTTTTTAGTGTATTGTGTCAGCCTGCCTAATTGCTGTCTAATGTCATTTATTTGTGTTTCTATTCTTCTCTGCCAGGCAGGCTTGTGATAGAATTGTGTTTTGTGTGTGTTTGTCTGTGATTGTATTTTCAGTCCATGGTGTGTCGCTACTGTGACTGCTCCAGCATAAACTAATGTATGAATGTTTGAGAGTGTGGAAATTGAATGAATGTAGTTTGGTAGTAAGCAGGGCTGTGGAGTCGTGTAAAAATCTACTGACTCCAACTTTTCCTTAGGGGCGGATTTGTTACCGAAAGAGACCTGGAAATTCTGATATCATCACGTGACCTCAGAATAAAAGATTCAATAAATAGAGTTCTAATAAAGATAGAGCGTAGAAACTTTTTATTCGAAAGCTAAAAGACTTCTCTAAGTAATATATAAATATGTATTTGATCATTTTTACTTTTCTGGCTGTTATATATAACAGAGGAAAAGTGTAGCGCTCAGTCAAAAAATGACCCCTCCCAAATTTTTACATTTTTGGACTCGGGACACCATAAAATTTCGAGATATGCAAAAGATTTGCGGTTTTTTTCTATATGTGTGGATGTTAGACTGTGTGGGGGGCAGTGGCGTAGTATGGGTGTCAGCTGCCCGGGGCAGAGGAAAATTTCGCCGCCCCCTTATTTAGGTATCTCAATTTAAAAGACTAAAATTCAGTTTCGTCACAGAATAAGTAACGAAAAATTCCGTGCTAGTGTTGCCACCTTTTTAAAATCGCTGTCCCAGACGGCAGATAAGGTTTGTTCGAACAGAAGTTGCTGACGCATGCGCAATGTCATTTTGCAATACTAAGAATAACGTGCAGTGCATGCTGATTCTAAATCAGTTAGAGTTAGTGACTAGGGAGACTTGGATAGGAGTAACGCAAGTGATCTAGCTCTATTGGATTTTGGAGATGTATGTGATTACGAATGAATCGTACAAGCAAAAAAATAAAAGAAAAGAAAAAGGTCGACAGGTTGCGCACGATATCCCCCGACAGCGAGTCGGATGGTAACACTATTCCGTGCTCATTTCAATCGGTTTGAATTGTAGGTGGATGAAAATATGAAATAAAATGGTTCAAATTCTTACAAGATATTATTATTATTTATTGTGAAATTTTGCCGCCCCTAAAACGTAATTTTGCCGTCCCCTAAAAAGTGCCGCCCCCCCTTTGCTACGCTACTGGTGGGGGGGCATGATTTTGTTCATTCTGTTTGAAGCCTAATAATTTCTGTGATCAGAGTGGTCAGAATCGGAGTCAGATGGTTTAACACAGGAGTTAGTTATTAAGCGTTAAAGTGGTTGAACTAAATCGTGTCCCCATATACATTCTAATATCTTAGGAGAGAACATCTTAACAGGTTTTACTGTACTATTATAAAATGGCTAAAAAGCTTACTTTGAGGGTAGAGACGAGTTTTATTTTATTTTTTTTTTAATTTTGAACGCTAATAACGAGTAAAATATTCATTAAGAGATATGACACATGACCACTTTTATGTCTTCACCCTGTCGACCTTTAATTAAAAACCAAAATTTAATAGTATTAATGCCCCTTTATACGCAAGCTACAGTGCCACATTTCATTTCTTAAACTTTACCCATTCTGAGATATTGTTTAATATCTCAGAACAGAAAATAAAGAAATTAAACAAATTAGATGCCAACACACACATGTGCGCGAATTTTTCCTCTTTTTTTGAGGGTTCAGGAGGTCTCCAAACATGTAGATTTGCAAAAAAAAACTTGGAGGGTCAAATTTGACACAATTCCAATACTTTTCTGTTTTATATATGTAACAAGTTGGTAAGTAAAAAGGAGTCGGAGTCGGCGGATTTTTTGACGACTCCGACTCCAGCTAAAACACCGAAACTCAACGACTCTGACTCTGATTCCACAGCCCTGGTAGTAAGTGAGTGTTTACATAATTTAGTATTTTTCCTACTACCTTTGACATGTTGATTTTTGGTATTCGTGGTCTTTGTGTGGGATCTGTACCAGTATATTTAGTGAGTGTTTCCTGAAATATAAGTGAGAGCGTATTAACTAAATCTATGTCTATGTTATCTGTGATAGATTAGGCACTTCCTCATCTATCACAGATAACAGATAACTAATGATACTATAGGCACTTCCTCTAGTATCATTAGTTGTAGTTGTTGTATGTGTGCTATTATCAATGCTTGTTGCTGGATTATCCTGACAGGTTACGTGATCTTCATTAATGTTGTAAGGAACCAAGTCTGAGCTTTATTTTTATTTTACTTTTATTTTGCTTTCATTATATTTTGTTTGGGGCTTATGTTTAGTTAAGACGAAGGTTTCCTCACCATTCACCTTAGTAACTTAAAAATAGAAGAAAAACCAACTCACCGACGAAAGAAAAGCGCCGTAGAAAAACTCGCGCACACTTGCGCTTCCCAAGCGGAAAAA